AGTAATAAAGGATTAGTTAAAGGTAGTTTAAGTTAGTTAACATTAAGAAAGGGTTAGTTAAAAGTAGTTAGCAGTAATAAAGGATTAGTTATAGGTAGTTTAAGTTAAAAATGTAAACTTTCTTTCCTCTCACCCTGTTGGTTTTAATCCTTCAGATTACAGATGATCCTCCGGTCCTCATGCTGTCCAGGTCTCTGATCCTCATCCTTCTCTCTGTGGGGGTCCTGGGGGTCAGGGTGGTCTCCTTCCTCAAGTCTGTAAAACCACAATGTGACTTCAAAATAAAAGCCCAAGCTGGAAGCTGCTTTCTGTGCAGGTCTGAGCTGAGTGCAGTCCAACAGAGTCCTGTTCAGTCCTCAGCCTGGAGGGTGGGACAGGAAATAACTGAGAGGGAGGGGGAGGAGGGGGGTGTCCTGGATTAACAGACATCTTTGTTTTAATCTCAGCTCTGAGCTGAAATATTAAAAGTCCTTCTTTTAGGTTCTGGTTCTGTTCAGACCTCAGAGAATAAATATTTATTTATTTATTCAAGGTTTTCTGTCCGTTTTTAGGATTAAATTTAAAGAACAGAAACATTCAAAGTTTGTTTTCATGTTTTTAATAACTTGAATATTCAGTTTCATGTTTTCTTATTCTGAGTCTGAAACAAATGTTTTTATTTAAAAGCAGCTGAAGAATAAAATCCTTCAGTTACCAAAATAAAAGTTGTTTTCAGTCTGCGAGACGCTGGTTGTTTGTGTGGTTTTAGTTTCTATTCTGAGCAGTGAGTGTCCGTGTGGCCCTGCTCATTATGTGGCTGCTGTCAGAACCAACGGGTCTGAAAAACAAGGTTCTGGTTCTGAGGGACGGTCCTGCACCTCGTCCTCTTCCTGTCGCTGGAATAACAAACTCTCCACAGATTCCTCACATTCCCAGCAGCCAAACCAAACACTGGGCTCCTCTCTGCCGGGTTCTGCTGGGTTCTGTCGGGCCACTGGTGCAGAGGTGCTGCTGGTGTTTTCCTGTCAGAGCAGTTATTAAGTCACACAGACACATTATTCAGAACCACAACCGGACCTGCTGACACCGAGCAGAACTGCAGGAACACCAGAGGTTCTGTTTCCATCAGACGACTGCAGAAACTGAATTAGTTTGTTGAGTTTTATTGTTTTATTGTAAATAAAATCCTCACTTTTTATTTTTATTGACACTTTAAATGTTAGAGGTTCTGATTTGTTTGTAAAAATGTAGATTTTTATATAAAAAAAAACAATAAAAAGTTTTTCTGTTTTTATTCAAACCTGAAAAACAAAAAAATTAATTTCAGACGTTTGAAGTTTCTTTTATAAAATGAAACTTTTTGTTTCATCTTTTCCAACAGTTTTTAAGTTTCAGGTTTACGTCTGAAACCAGAACCAGGTTTCCYCTGAGCCACATCGGTCCAGTCTGGTCCGGTTCTGTCCGGTCCGGTTGAAATAAAAATTGTAAAAAAGTTATTTGGTCTTCTTGCAGAACTCTTTCCTCCCCCCTCCTTGGACGGTGAAGTTTCGGACTCTGTGGATCCTGGCCAGCTGGTTCTGGATGGTCTTCATGATGTCCACGTGGTCGGGGATGTGCACGTAGCGCACGTTCCTGCCGGTGATGAACAGGTCCTGCAGCTGGGAGCTCCGCCCCCGCCGGTCCCGGTACAGGACGTCCTCCAGGCGCACGTTCATGAAGGCGTCCACGTTGACCACACGTCCCCGAGCCGTGGACTCGTTCCTCAGGTCCACGGTGGTCACCTCCCCCCGCAGGCCCTGCAGCAGGACCACCATGGTGTTCTCTGCGATGATCCGCTCCCGGAGCGAGCCCACCTCTTCACCTGAGGTCACGGATCCAGATGTCCCAGACTCCTGAGTCCCTGATGTCCCAGACTCCTGAGACCCAGATGTCCCAGACTCCTGAGACCCTGATGTCCCAGACTCCTGAGACCCTGATGTCCCAGACTCCTGAGAC